CTTGTTTTTTTATATTATATTAAAGTTTAATATTTTGATAATAATCATATGTGTTATAATTTTCAAGGAATTTTTTTTATACCTATTCTTAATGCATTAAAGTGTTATTATGATGGATAATAATCATTCTTAATGCCAAGTCTATGTCCATGCAGCCGAGAACAATCAATATGTTCTCTTTCCAGTCCTTAAAGTTTGTTCCATTTAACATTGGAACATTGTTCATGTTGGCAGAGATTGAAGTAGTCGACATTAAAGCTGAATCGAAAAGAAAATAAAAGGAATAAACAATTATACTCACATTAAGTTACCAAACAGATAATCTCTAAATAAATTAATTTAATGACAACATCTCAAGATACCTAGCACAACATTAATACTAAGCCTTTGGGTAGTGATATTAACTGTAAGTGGTATTCTTGTTGTAATGATCAAACATTGACAATAAGTTATGTCAAATAACAAATCTATCTTTTGATGGATTTATTATTCACATTAGGTTTTCTTGACAATTGGCACATGTTTATCACCACAAAATGTGTGTGTAATTCTGCCAAGTCTTAATCATGTCTTTGGACCGATAAATACCCGCATGAGATACACAGACATGAACTTCAAAACATTCCATATAAAACAATCTAGACAAGAGAGATCACTTTTGTGACATCTTGTTTGAATTGACTTATATTGAGAATGCTAGAAAATTAAATTTCCGTAGACGTTGTATGAAATTACATTAAATTTAAAGATTTCTAAATTTGTTATCCCGTATATGTTATATAATCTGCAGCAACTCCAATTATATACATATATATATAAATACATGATGTGCACCATTTGAAAAATGAACCGCCCATCCGAATTATGTTCCATTTCCAGAAAACAAAACAGAATTTGCAGCAGAGGGAAAAACAGAAATACAAAAAACAGAATCTGATTCCAAGAAACTAAATAGGATGAATAAAAGCATATCTATTCTGATAATACACATGATATAACCGCTCTCATACCACTTGTAAACATAAATTTCAGAACATAAACCTTACGCTTTTGATCATTTACCATGTGTATTATCAAGAAATCAAGACAAAATGACATACCTGAATCCATCGATGAACGGTTAAACGGAAGCGTCTGATTGTCAATAAAACCTTGATATTAACTATGTTATTGCCTTCTAATCCTTTCCCCTTTGGTGCCTTATGTTTCTCTTTGAGAGGATTTAGAAAAACAAAACAGTGTTCTTATTTTTTCTTCACCTTGGGAAGGAATAGCGACCATAACCTTTTAAAGGTTGTAATTGGTTTTCATAACTGAAAGGGAATGAAAACCAACTTTAACCAGTATGTTTTAATTTCTATTTCTGCCCCTCATAGAAGTAGAAATTATACAACTAGTATCTACACATTAGGTCCATAACACATATACCCTTAAGCCTATTAACTAAATTGAATCACTTAAATTGTAGGCTTCTTATAAATGATAACACCACATTTAATTATGTGGTCCCATTGAGACATTATCTAACATTCAGATGTTTTCAATTTATGCTTGAATTCATTTATTGTTAAAATATATATTCTTCAGTTGTTCTAGCTTCCACCACTGTAAAGAGAAATTGATTATCAGCTTTATGATCCATGACATTTAGCATCACAATCACACAGCTATGGGAGATTTGGAATATAACCCAACAAAGTCCGGATTTTTATACCATTTTTTGTGCAGAATGTTACATAATGTGGGTTTTAAACTATGATCTTAAAAGCATTACCTGGAACGATCCCATTACACTGGGATGTGCTGGGATGGAGGTAGACTAGGTTTAGCTCTTACCTTTATATGATTTGCAAAGAGTGGCTTCCTTTGGAATTAGACTTGCAATCTCATATGCTTGGTAAATTGACATGTTCTTTTCAATTTTATTATTTAATTTTGACCATCTACTGGTTAAAATAATTATTAGCCATGTCAGGCTAATACTGCTAAATGCTAATACTACCTGGTTAATCCTTGATTATAGCTAGGGATGGCAATGGGGGTCAATGGGGTGGATATTAATTCCCCATCCCCATTCCCCTATAATAAATTTTTCCCATTCCCCATGGGTACCACCCTCCCCATTTCCTAATGGGTTTGGATTTTCCCCAACCCAATTTAATCCCCATTTTTATTTTATTTTTATTTTTTATATTTAATGTTAACAATCACTTTTTTTTTAAAGGTTCACAACAAAAACTAAATATACCTTCAATCTTTTTTCTTTCTTTTTTAATATATTTAATGTTAACAATTTTTTTTTTTTTAAAGGTTCACAACAAAAGCTAAATATACCTTCAATCTTTTTTCT